ATATATATATATATATATATATATATATATATATATATATATATATATATATATATATATATATATATATGAATCCACTTGGGGATCTTGTTAAAATGCAGATTGTCATTCAAGACATCTGCCATAGAGTCTAGGACTCTGCATTTCTAACCAGGTCCCAGTGATACCAGTCACTGGAACACACATTAAGCAGCCAGGATTGGCAGAATTCCCATCTCCCCCACCTTGACCACTGGGATACTATCTGTCGTCTCTTTTCTGGCTCTTTTCCTAATCTCCATGAGTTCCTAACGATAAATATAAAGTACCTTAATGATAATTGTGATGACACTTACGTGTTTGTTTTTATTTAATACTTTGGGGCACACTTCATTGTAGACTAGACTAGCCTTCATTTTTGTAACTCATTGTTCTCTTGCTGTCTGTATACCTTCCGTGGGTTTTAGATCCCTTAATCTTAATTGTTTGTCGACCCTGTCCAGTCGAATGGTTACTCTCCTAGGAAAGAGGAATGAGTGAAATAAGAACCGACTGGACTTGCTTTATCTCTGCACTTGAGAAAACTATACCACCTAATCCAAGAGGACAAACAGAGAAGTCAAGTCGCCACGGATACGTGGCAAGTTAGGGACCGCTTCAGACTAAAAGCTAGGATTCTTGATGGCTTCCTTCTTCTGTTGGTACAACCGTAATTAAAGTCCTCAGTTTCCATATTTTCATCTTAACATTTAGCCCCACAGTGCCTTCTCTTATGGTTCAACAAAGAGTAATAAGGAGACCTTAGTGTTTCCCTTGTTTGAGCTGGACCCAACGTGCTTCAGTTTTGTTCTTAGACCATCAGTCAAAGAACAGGGAAACACCTCAGGAAAATTTTACGAAAGCCTGATAAACATTAACATTGCTATGTCATAAAGTAACATATTTCATATTACTGAATATCTTAGGAGAAACAATGGGACGAGGCAAAGAGGAGGAGGAGGAGAATGGTAGTAGTAATTGAAAGGATGCTACCAAAAGATTTAAATAGGGTTTTCCATTTACTGTATCTTTTCAAAGTTTTTGATTATTTAAAATAGAATTCTTATACAATTATTTTGTTTTATTCACAATACTATAAGCACTTCTCCCATGAAATACAAATTATTACTTAACAGACTTGTCCATTTCCAAAAAGCTCAACGTTAAGAAAAATTGTCTTAAATCAATTAGCTGCCATTTTCAGTACAGTTCCCAGCCTATAGAAGGGATAGCAATGATGGTGAAGGAGGAAGCAGTTACGTTAAATTCTCTGGTTTAGATCAATGGCCACCTCTAATAAAACCTCCACTCAGAATCCTAGGAAAGTACACACTTGGATTAAGAACAGAGGTAGCGCGTTGCTCATATAATTCTGGGGTCCCTCCCCTATGTAGGTCCCATATCAATATTCCTTTGAAGTAATACCTCAGCCATTTTTTATTTTTTTATTTTTGGCCAATTTCCTTTCTCAGCTTCCAGTAATTTGGGTTCTATCTGCCCAATTATTATCCACATAACTGGGGGCAGATGAAGAGTAACCGGATTTCACGTAGCTTCTACTCAGCTGAACGCTAGGTGTCCTGTACTCTGCTCTCAGTCCTGCCAGGGATCAGCTGTGTAATCAGCTGTGAAGCGACAGTTCACCTGAAAGCGTTGTCATTAGGAACAAGCGAGACAAGGTATCAGTGACAAGGACTGTGGGAGGCAGTCAGTATGATAGGAAGGTCTGGAGCTGACAGACTTGCACCCCAGCCCTACACTTCCACAGACTAGCTGTTACCTTAGGCGACCCCTCTGTTTCTCTTTCATCATGTACAATGTGGGAATAACTGGTCTACCAGGACTATGTCAGATGGCTTCTTTGAAGACTGAATAGAAGACAAATTATAAAATGCCTGACAGAAAACAGGCTATCAGTAAGTGATTATTACTTAAAATCACTATAAAAATTTAAGACCTATAATTCCTTCCAAAAGATAGAAATTCAAACTATGCAGGTGTAACAGGGGCCAAGAAATCGAAGTACAACATTCTCCCTTGGCCTAAAATTTGTTCCTCTTTTTCCCGCTGACCATTTTTAAGGTGGCACCGTTTGGTAGAACAGAAGAAACTGATTCTCATCGTGTACATTTAGAATCAATATTTTGAATTTGACTTCAAGGATAGTAAATCACTCCCACAAACCACACACCTGCAGGGTCTTTTGCAAGTGAATTTAAAAAGAAAGGTCCAACATTAAAATGTTTAGTTTACACAAAATTTTTTGAAATGAAGTTACACTGACTTAGACAAAATTTATGTTATTGACCTATTGTATATTTGTGTGCTTATGGAAATGGAAAAGGTTTTCATCACTAAACCACCATCATGAAACCAAAAAGAAAGAAAGAGAGAAGGGAAGGAGGGAAGGAGGGAGGGAGAGAGAGAGAAGGATGGAGGGAGGGAGGAAGGGAGGGAGAGAGAGAGAGAAGGAGGGAGGATGGAAGGAAGGAAGGAAACACATAGATTTGTGGTAAAGTAAATCCAAGAAATCACAAATAGCCTTAACATTACCATCCAGGAAAGTCTGTTCAAGATAATCAGTGATCTGAGTGGCCTCACAAATAATGTTTTCCCCGTGGATAAGGACAGGCACTTCTCCAGTTGAGTTCAAACGCATAAACCAAGGCTCATTGTGCTCACTCAGGGGCAGACTTACATCATGTTCCTCGCACTTCAATGCCTTTTCGGCAATTACCAAGCGAACCTGGAAGAGTTCACACTGGTTACCACAGCGCATGCAGGCTTTCAATTAAATGACCTCCTGGCTACCACTAAGCAGCTTTTCTGCACTTCCCTGAGTTTCAGTATTTTCAACATTCTTTTTAACGATAGTCCCGTGCAGCATAGCTACCTTTAGGTCAAGGACAGACTGCACAGATGACAGAGGCCCCATAGGATTATAATGGAGCTGTTTTAAGAGCGGTGATTGCCTAGTGAGATCCTAGAGCAACACCGCCGTGCTGTGGCGATGCTGGTGTAAACAAACCTGCACTGCCAGTGGTGTACAAGTGTAGCACATGCAATTATGTACAGTGCGTAATACTTGATAATGAATGACTATGTTCTGGTTTATGTATGTACTATACTATATTTGTTATTTTAGACTGTATTTGCTGTAAGATGGTCTGCCATGTTACACTGGCAGCCTCATGTCATGTTCACCGTGTCTCCGGATTGCGTCGTTTTCTCTTGTGCTTGATTGAAGCTCGTGTTGTTTTGCACAGTGACATGCTGTGCAGGCTTGTGGCCCAGGAGCAGTAGGCTGTACCCCACCGCCCAGGTGTGCAGGAGGCTGGACCATCCAGGTCTGTGTGAGTGGACTCTGTGATGTTCGCAGAACAATGAAATCTCCTAACGACGTGTTTCTCAGAACACATCCTGTTGTGAAACCTCGTGAGACTGTGTATTCCTATTGTAGAATGAGTAAGTCCGACATATTCTGGCATCTCGTTCTTACAAATTAGAAAAGATAATAAGTAATGACAGTGATTCCGGATGTCTGCATTTTAAAGTCACCCTCCCCATCACCACTACTTTCTTTGTGCTCTAAACCTAATTATATTGGGTTGTCGGAAAAGCCATGACGCATTTTTGCAACGAAAAACATAGAAAAAATATGTCATGACTTTTCCGACCACCCAATATGTCCTCCCCAGACAGGAACCTGAAATACAGATATGCTAGGCCTTATGGAAGAGAGTGAATGGGAACAGAACCGAGCAGAAGAAGGAACTGTAGATTCTGCAGTTGCTGGAAGGTTCTTCCTTCTTGCCTGACCCTGCAAGGCCCAGGGGACAAAGCCTACAGCCCCAACACCGACCGTAATGCTTTCTTTTTGTCGCATTTCCTGAGTGCCAGTGGCTGGGTGATAGCCTTTCCCTCTCCAACTGATTCTCCCTGCTCCCCACTAAAGCGCACCCCTGTGGCCGAGGGAGCACCCGCCAGAGTTAGGGCGGTGTCCGAGGCCTGTTTCTAGGTGGGCCGGCGGCCCCAGCGAGGCCCAGAGGGAGCTGTCCCGGTGCTGAAACCCGATCCGCGCTGCCCACCCCAGCCGAGGCCTTTACCTTTTGAGAGCTGAAGGAATGCGTCCAGTGGTACAGAATGAGCTTTACCTCGGCGTCCGCCTTGCCTTCCGCCATCAAGGGCGCGCCCCCTCTCTGCTCGTCCTGCATCTGAGCCATTTCGGGGTGCGCGAGCAGGGGAGGGCCTAGACTTCCCTCCCTGCGCCCTGTGCTGCTCCCACCCACGCTGCCCCGCAAAGCATCCGTAGTTTTTCCATGATGCCTCCCTGGAGCCAGGAAAGACACTGAGTTCGCGTGGACGAACAGACCACTGGGAAGTGTAGTTTCGCCGGCGAGGAAGCTGCAAAGAGGCGGGGGTGGGGCGGGGGGAGTGCTGTCTGCGCTCCAGAAAGCCTCCGGAATATGGAAGTCATCTGAAGAGGTGCAACTGGACGGTTTTTAGGGGAAACCATCTAAATTATGCGTCCCTGATCATTAAAACGAGTAGTGGATAATGTTCATTGCAAATCACTCGTTGGTTTTGGCGATGGTTGCTTAGGTATAAAAGGAGCAGTTTTCCAAGATACTTAGGGCTCCTCTTGGAGAGCCTGTGCCTTTGGCGGAAGGGAGGTTCCAGTTAACAGACAAAGCAAAAGAGTAGATCTAGGCGTTGTCATTAGAAGATGCTACTATGGAGTCATGAAAAATATTATTATTATTAGAATCTCATAAGCAACTAATATACAGTGGTGAGGTTAAAAATAGCCTAGGTGTGAAACAAAGAAATTTTGAAACAAATCTACCTGGGTTCACGTCCTGGTTTTTCAATTTTCCCCGTTTTTATAGTGGAGATCATTTATTTCCCAAATAAGGTTTTTTTGTGAGAGTTAAGTAACTAAATACAGTGTTAAACACTTAAAACAGCCTGGCCTGTTGTAGGCACCCAATAATGCTCACAGGCTCAGTTGCCTTGTAAACAGTCTCTTTATAGCCACGATCAGATTAATAATTTTAGACTAGTTATTATTGTACACCTCTTAAAATTTGGCTTCATAGTAAATTAATAAAATTCCCTTTCGGTACATATGATTAATATCATCACGAAATGAATGCTTGTATAATGCATTCAGCACATATTTGTTGAGCACCTACTATGTTCCAAGTATTATGCTGCGCCCTGGGGATACAAAGACGTGTATGACGTAATACCTGGTACCTAACATATAAGTCTGGTGGCAGAGACAACAAAATAAACAGACAACCACAATAGAGATAAGACCTATCTGTCTTAGTGTGAACTCAAGGTACCATGAAAAAAAGAGAGGCAGTATCCAACTCAAGTCCAAAAGGCCCCCTGGAAGAGACAAAAGAAATCTCATAAGGTCCGTCCTCCCCCTTACAACACTTCATTTGCTGTTCTCTATACTTTTATAATTTTTAAAGATTTTGTAATATCTACCATTGTCACCCCAATACATTTTAATTTAAAATATATATATATATATATATATATATATTATTATATCTTTTTATACCCTTAAGTTAATTCAAATGCTAAAGCAAAAGCGATCCTTACCAAATTTGTTTTTTATCAGCTCATGCTTCAGAATAGAAGAGGGAAAGCAAAACTTTGAAATCAGACAGAGTGGGGTTTAAATTCTAGTTCCATCCCTTACGACCTCCCTTGAGCCTTCACTTCATCATGTGTAAACTAAGAAACTACATAAAGCACTTGGGACTTTGCCTGCAATACAGCAGTTGATGACGACAGCATGCATGGAAAAGCCCCTCTGTGACACCAAGAGGACAACCTATTACACTTGTTCTTCTCTCTTTAGGCCTCAAATTTTTTACAACTACCTATATAATCCCCCTCTCCATTACTCTTCAGAAAAATATCTTCATCTCTCCAGCTTCAGGTCCCCTTAAACTATACAGTTCCCTTTCCTTAGCTTACTCAATCCCCTCAGTATCTGAATAAACTCCACCCTCTTGGTAGGCCATCTGTCACTTGCAGCTGGGAGAATTCTGGCAATAAAGTCCAGGTCTGCCAAACACTGAGCACCGTATCACATCTTACCAGCACCAAAGCCAGACAGTAAACATTGAATGAGTGGGTCGATTCCTGTCTCGGTGTTTAACATTAAGTATTCATATACGAGTATGTCCTCTGGAGTGAAAACGTGTACAGAGCTTCTGAAGGGAAACTTATCAATATGCTTCAGAAACCTTGAAAATGGGCATAACTTCTAACTTATCAATTCCTCTATTTGCAATGTAACTACGAAATAGCTGCAGTGAATTCTGTCACTTGGCCCTAAAAATCCATTTTTAGTGGTAATAGAAATTTTAGCTAACAAGCACATGGCTGCTGGAAATAAAAACTACATTTCCCAGGCTCCATTGCAGGTAACGGTGGCCATGTGGCTATGTTCTCACAAACGGGATGTAATGGACGTGTTACAGGACAAGTTATAGGAAGCTTTCTTAAAGAGACAGCTGGCCCTGTACCTCTTCTTCACTCCAGCCTCCATCCTGCTTCCATGAGGATGGATGCTAACTTGAGCATGAGGCATGGGGCCACACCCTGGGGATGGGCAAGCCCTGAGCTGGAGGGGAATTGAGCCCCTAAAGACAGGACCTCACTCACTCACAAGAGTCACCAGGAGTCAGAGCCGACTAAGTGGCATCCCTCACACACTTGGACACTGGGAGGCAGGACCACCACACCCACCTGAGCCTGTATACCTCCAAACTGTTACTGAAAGAAAATATAAAACACCTTGTTTAGTTCACTGTTGTTTGGTGCTTTCCAAGTGCTATCATCTTAGCCTATCTTCACTAATACTTCAACCTTGTAAACATAGATGGCTTTTATTGCTTTATGCTTCCACATATTGTGATTTTTTTCTATAGTTAATATGTGCTGCTTTGACTACTTAAAGATTTGAACCTCAAAAGAATATCAGTGAACAGATGAGGTGAGAAAACCTAGTGGTGTTTTAGAAAACCAACTGCTACATCTGTGTCCATTGATCTGTAATCCCTGTTATTTTCCATCCCACTAAAAGCCATGTGTAGGTAATAGGAAAACCTTATTTTTATGCACATGGTTATTCAGAGCATCTACTGAAGTGTGTGTGTGTGTGTGTGTGTGTGTGCGTGTGTTCTGCTGCTGTGTGTCTTTCTGCAGCATCGCATTAGATTGTGGGCCCCTGGGGACCAGGAGCCAGCTCCAGATCAATTTATTTCTTCCGTGTACACTTGTTGGGCTTTCCTGTTGCAGGAACAGTGCTAGAGACAGAAGATAATGGAGTTAAAATTCCAGTCACTGACCTCAGGGAATTCAAGTATGAAAGGAGTGAGATGAGATTACAACACAGTGTGGTAATTGCTTTGATATCCAGGAGATTATGATAGAAAGATAGAGAGCTGTAGAGAAAGGCTCCTAATTCCAGAGTCTTCCCGGAAGAGGGGATGTCTTGACCATCATTAGTGCCATACTGGGGCAGTTACCAGCATACCACTGTCTCAGGAGAGCTGACCATTAAATTTTCATGTATTTTGCAAGCAGGATGTTGACCACAGCCAATATTAAAAATTAAATAAAAATGACTTGCATTCAATAATTATTTTTAAATAGAGCTAGCAAATATTCCAGACTCATCATTTCCTAATCATTTTGCTATGTTTATTATCATCTACACTCTTGAGATTACTTCTGCCTGTTCTATTCATTTGATGGAAATCATACGTCAGGGCATGCTGCTGTGCATCGCTTCCTAGCTCCCTGTTCAGTGGTATCCTCTGAGTAGCTTGGCATTGGCCATGGCGGGAGTACTTACACGGCAGAAATCAGCCAGTGCTGTCTTATCACATGTTTAGTTTTTTCCAGAGAGTTGGTTGCTAAACATTAACCAGCACCCTACTGAATGTATGATTTTTATTTAGTGTTTAGTAAGTGATTTTGATGGTGATGATCAGGAGAACCTTGGGTAAGTTTGTGAAGGAATGAGTTTGTATATTATTCTGCTTCTGGTACCTTTTCCCGTCCCAACCAGCTTTAGTTCTGCTTCCTTATCCGTTACTCAGATACCCACTCCCCTTACTGCGCTTTCATTCTCTTCACTGTACTTAGGAAGAAAGTGGATACACACACACCTATCTGCCCACTAGCATATCTTTCCAGCAACAAAACCATAAACCTGTAAACACTAAAGAAACGACTATTGCATTGCTATTCAATATTAATAATACCCTACAATCAAATGTGTAATGTAGAACTTCTGCATCTGAACATCACTGGCCACTTTCTCACAATCTCATTTGACCCTCACGATAGCCTGTGAGGCAGTCACCATCTCTAGTTTATAGTTGAGGAAAATAAGGTTTAGCGACTGAGATACTGGCCCAAAATCCTAGAGCTAATACGTGGAAGAGCTATCACTCGAACACAACTTTTCTGACTGCTAGTCAAGTATTATTTTCTACTGCACCATGCTAGCTTTAAACCAAAGAGAGAAATTTGGGGACTTTGACGTTTTACACAGCTGGGGGTAGACTTTGGGGAAAACATAGCCACTTTCTTGAACACTGGGCCTTATTGGTATATACACTTCTATTAGAGCACAAACTATACTGTAAACTACTATTTACATGTCTTCCTTGTGCATTGCACTCAGAGCTTCTTAAGGTCAAGGCCCAATAGGATTCATTTTAGTGTTCCCAGGAATCCCAAGTAAAGATGCTCCAAAACTACTTTTTAATTTAATGGAGAGCATTTAATTAATGGAGAAAAAGAGTAGAATACCACCAACAACAACAGCAAGCAATGACAAACGACTGCAGCTAATCATAATAATAAATTATAGCCTATTTAGTCTAACCACTCTAGAAATTCCGGAAATGTGGAAAAGTAATTTCATTGGACAACATTTGATATTTCTAAATCGGGGCCTAGGATCACAGCTCTGTAAACGGACTGCCTTTTATATTAATATTTATTTAAATTCTTCATTCCTTTAAATATTTCTGAGTGAATGAAGTTAAAATAGATTTGATTGATATTATGAAATAACAGATTACATAGCTTGTCTGACCCTGAGTCACCCTACCTATAAAATTATGATGAAAATCTACCAGAGTTGCTAGCTACGCAGATATATCCAGTTTGGGAAAATGCCTTGAACTAGACAATTTTGATTTGTGCACTTTTCTTTATGTCTTATGCTTCAATCAAATTTTAATTTGTCACATACAACTGTTATGGCACATAATATATTTATTATGTGGCACATATTAT